CAAAGCCTAGAAAGCTCTTTATTATTCACAGTAAATATACAGTGTGTTTGTTTATTATAAAATAATTATGTCTAGGTATCTCCACCTGTTTCTGAGTATTTGCACAGATAAATCTAATTTGATGTCTGTGATTGTAAAGTATTTTGTTTATAAGCATGTGTGACATATATGTTACTAATAAAAGAAATAGTTGATTTAATTTACATTTCGTAATTGAAAACGCATGTAGCATATTGCATTTAAAATTAATTTTGATACTAATGAAAGGAGTGAGACCAGATTATTGGATATGTTCAAAACCGTATTTTTTGCTCGCAACATAATTATTAAATTGATTGCTCAGATAGAAAAAAATGTTGCTTAAAATCCTGATTCTGCTAGCTTTCCTCTTATAAGAGATTGTCTTTTAATGCATTTCCAAGCTAATAAGCCTTATAAAATTCTGCGCTTGATCTTGAATTAGTTTTCACTGATGACTACACCTTACGAAAGTGCCAGCTTATTGTTAGTATAAAAATACCAATCATAAAACGAAGACCCCAAAACAGCCTTTTAAAGTAACTCACTGCAAACAATAAAGTCTTTCTCGCCAGCTCTGGCATTTGAAGGTCTGAAAGTTCACGCAGTGTGTTGGTACCAACCAGGACTCAAGCCTGTTGATAATTGCTACTAAAGACAAACGCGAAGCAAACTGACACAGCTGGATCGAAGAGAGCTTTTGTTGGCTGTCTATGCTAAGAGGAGAGACAACATAGAGTGCTCGCAGATGATTTAAGTAGGGTTGGCGTGATAAGGTTATCTCAAACTGCAAGAGTTGATAGGGCAGTAACAGACAACTCAAAGCAAAGCTGTGCAATCAATTAAAACTGTGTAATATATGATGCATGAGGAAACCCCCCAGCCCTAAGTTTATATTATAAAATAACATTATTTTTTTGGGGTGGGGGGGTTTCTAACACAGTAGGTTACAGTCGCAACACAAGCAGTGTTTCCCCGCGAGGATATGTTCCGAGCAGTACTCCTCAGCAGTCCAATTACAACACAGTCAGCAATAGCATGAATGGATATGGCAATGCCGGCATGCCCAATCTAGGTGTACCAGGTTCCCCTGGATTTCTTAATGGCTCCTCAGCTAACTCTCCTTATGGCAGTAAGTGTCTATTTTTGGTAACACATCATCATATAGATTCATATTTACTACAAAATCAAATACTTGCATTGTTTTGATTTTCTATATCGTGAGCTACTGGATAAAAGGAGGGGTGACTCTGGAGGCTGGACGTAAAAACGAATTTAATAAATTGATCTGTTTGTGCCATAATACAATCTCAGATAGAAAAAAAAAAAAAAAAAATTGGACTGCACAATTTGTAACAAAAGTCCAACACAAAAGAGTTTGCCTGTTATCCAGAGAGTGGCCAAGCCAAGGCATTTCATTTCTTTTTTTTTTAATATATATTTATATATATTATATATATATATTTTAAAAGGCAAGGCCCTATCACTCTCTTTTTCCGTGTTTGCCGTGAAAACCTCAATCTGAGTCCTGATTATTTTTGCTTTATTGCAGTAGTGCCGTCAAGCCCTACCATGGCAGCCTCTTCGGTCACCCTCCCTTCAAACTGTAGCAGTACACACGGCATTTTCTCATTCTCACCTGCCAATGTCATCTCTGCAGTGAAACAAAAGAGCGCCTTTGCTCCTGTTGTCAGGCCCCAAGCCTCTCCTCCACCATCTTGCACCAGTGCAAATGGAAATGGACTTCAAGGTGAGCCGGATCTCTCAATTTTCTTTGTATTGCTTTTTGGTACATACACTAAAACTACTGATGGTTTGCGTTGGAGAAAGGTACCTTACTGTATTTTTTGGTTTCTGATGCTCTCATGGTGATGTAGAAGAAGTAGAACAGCGCATATGACATGCTAAGATTTTAAGCAGATCTGAGGCCAGTTTTCATACTTACCCTTCAGAAAACTCCAGTTGTCGTGACATTTTCCCTCAAGATTTCGTACATTGAATATTAAAGTAAGAACGTATCCCCTGATGCTTCTTGGAGGTTTTGTCTACTCCTTGCATTTCCTTATACATCTCTGAATACAGTCATACGGATGTTTGAAGACAGCAACATTCCAGCGTAACGTGATGCAATTTCCTCACTTTACATGAGATGCAACAGGTATTGTCAAATGCTCCAAATTAGGAGAAATCAAGCTCTTACTCATTGAGCAAAGCTTCCCTTGCACCATCTAGCCACTTGTGCAGTGGATTTGCATGCTCTCTGGGCCATAATTCACTCACTAGTGTTACATTTGTTACTTCCATAAGTGAATATCCAGTATTTTAACTGAATTAGGCAATTGCAAACTATTTCTTCTCTCTCTCTTTTCTAATCTGCATAAAATTCGTGTGGTGTAGCACAATGAATAATTTGAAAATTGGTCACCTGATGGTAGTGGGGCAGGAGGAACTATGATGAAGTGTATGTTTTGTGGAAGAACAGAAATAACGAGCAAAGACGTGTTCCCTTTTGTGGCATATTTTAAAGTTGAGAAGGTAGCCCTGTCCCATTCATTACAATCATGGAAAAGGCTTGCTTGCCTGTGTTCTCCAAACAAAGAACCTATCCCACATGGCAGCACTGCAATTCAGTGAAATTCAGGAAATCAGAAAGTGCTGCAGACAGTGTCACCTGGGGGCTGCGACTCTTCTTCACTTTCTTAGCTAAGATAAGGTAACTCTTATTTATTCATAGCGTTGTCACAATACCCATAACAAGATGAGCACTCACTGCCAAACAGGTGAAGACATACACTGCAATTTGCCAGGCTGCCTGCTGATTTTGGATACCTGTGTTCTGTGATATCTACCTCAGGGCACTTTCAAGAAACCTCATCCTACAGAACTGACTGCCCACCAACGGTCCTACCATTCCAGACCAGTGTCTCAGAATGAATGTCCCTGTATCATAGCTTGTTAGTAACTTCTTGGTCCAGAGAAGATAGCATCTGAGAGCTCATTATGCACTCAGGTCAATGAAGGACTGAGGATCCAGCTGCACAAATATTATTGTAGGGTGGATGTTAAAGAAAAGGGTAATTAGATTAACAATTTACACCACTGCATAAGTCTTTGCAGTTGAAGCTTGACTATGCTGCAGTATATAGAAAACCAGACCAAGCATAAGCAATATTCTTAGAGAAGATGATCCATTTGTAAAAATAATCCTACTTTCTTCCATATAAAAATATAAAGCTTAAGAATTAAAAGAATATATGAATATAAAAATTAAATAGTTGCCATTTCAGCAGGTGAGTAAAGGGCTTCCCACTTGCTATCCAAGGTTTCAGGTGCTTATAAGATCTAGGTAACTGCAGAGTGGGGTTGTCAGAAGAGTGTGAGCAGAATGCCCAATTCCCAACAGACACCGAGCCCTAATCTCCTCCAGCACCTCCAGCCCTCCCAGTAATCATCCACTGTCACCCTCAGCTGAAAAATGCCCTTTGTGTAAAATCCTGGCAGCCCATTTGGAGTGCACCAGTGCTGACTTAGTTGAGCTGAAGGCCCAGCTGTCCCCGTGCTCAGGGTGCTGTGACCCAAGCGGCAGACCTGGCATTGCCCACAGTGAATTCCCTCCTGCAGGTGCTGCTAAAGCTCTAAGGATTTTTTGTTACATACCCCAGAGACCTGAACCGTTGTGTTACAGAGCTGTCCCTGCAGTACTCAGCATGTGAAGCTTCTAAAACATGAGGGCACTTAGAAGGTTCAGCCTGAGCTGATGGCAGAGCAGGGGGCTTCCACTTCCTATTTTCTTAGTTATCGTTGGACACAGAGCCCTTTTTAAAGTTTAATTACTCTCTTTCTGAGCACTGAACAAGAGGCCGTGCAGAAACCTCTTATTTTTTGTTCAGCAGTCAAACTGCAAATGGTTGAGGTGTTGATCTGGGGAAAAAAAAAGTCATGCTGTCCTCACCCTGCTGAGACAGCAAAACCAAATCTTGCGTTGAACAAAATGACACAGAGAAATATCAGGAAAGTCCTTCTGGTCTGGTAATTACAGCACCAACTTCCAGGCTGTGGCAAAAACTCAGATTATTTATGCAAGGTGGCACTTCACCCACAGAGGAAAGTTGGGACAGGGCAGTTGGGGTAAAATCTGTGGGTTTGGGTTGTGTGGGAGAAAATCAAACTGCACCTGACACATCCATGTGAGTGCCTTCATCACCGTGCCGAGGGGCATCAGCATTTTTATCCAACCAGAGCTGCCCAGTCTGAGCTGCTGGCAGAGCAGGGCATTTCTGCTTCCTATTTTCTTAGGTAGTGTTTGACACAGAGCCCTTCTTAAAGGTTAATTACTCACGTGAGCACTGTACAAGAGGCACGAGAGTTTTCTGATCAGCACGTCAGACCACATTTTGTATGTTAAAATACAACACAGAATATTGAAGACCATCGGGACCGCAGTGGTCCTCAATCAACAGAGCCTCTCTGCACAGCTGAAAGCACCATTAGCAATGGCCGTGGACACTGGGTCAAACTGAGACAGAAGCAAAAAATTCATGGTCACCAGTGATTGTTTTTAAGGTGAACGCTGCAGCTGATGGACCTGGGTAGCAGAGGATGACGTGCTCTTTTAACCTGGAGCAGGATGTCCTCTCTATCGTTGCTTGTCATTTTCTGCCTACATAATTCTGAACTAATCAGCTGTTTTTCAGCCAGCGCTATGGGAGGTGGTTGGCTATGGCAAGGCATCAGCATGCTGACACAGTCAGGCCATACAACTCCCCGTTTTTCACATCAAAGTTTGTTATCACTGTGAACAGATAGTCAGATGAGAACATGGCAAATTCCTATATGCAACAGACAAGGGCAGTGCTTTTATGGGGCTTTGGGGTGTTTACTGCAGCAGTTCTTGCTAAGTACACCCCTGTGGGATTTGTCTGTGCAAAAAAGATTCTGCTCTTGGTTCTTCTGAGATGACTGCCAAGGACTGACCATAGAGAGGTCTGTAACCAACATAGGGAATGAATATTTTCCTAAAGAGATTCAAGAAAGAGGGTAGGAAAAATTCACAAGCATAAAAAGAAGACAAACCAGTGAAATCAGTGCTAAGGTGTAGTCTCCTTCCTTGCTACATTCACAATCCATTCCTCCTCGTGCTGTGTTGTGAATACATGCATCCTTTGCCAATTGATACTGCAATTAGGGTCAGAACTTGGAAACTGCAGCTTGCAGAGAGAGATGCACTGCAAGTACGACTCGCTCCTGTAAGCCTGCAGAATGGAGCCTTTGGGCCCTATCCAAAAAAAAACACAACCTCGTTAACTTTGTATGACTTCCATTAGAGAGCCTATGATCAGAAAGTTAAGCGCTTCCATGTTTCTTAAGAGCAGGATGCTAGAATATGTGTTCCTCAGGGCAGAGAGCTTTTTCCTGTTCAAAACAACGGATGTATAAGGTATAAAATTTTTTTTTTTGCACAAAAGTACTACCTTGCTGTAAAGTTGGAAGTGTGTTCAGAATTCAGTTTTCAACTGTAATTTTCTTGTAATTGACTTTGAAATCGCACTCTGGATAAACCTTATGACTGTAAAGCAGAGCAAAAGGTTCTCTACATTCTTTTAAAACTGCATCCTGCTTAATTTTCCGGTCTCCCCCCAGTTGAAACTATTGTTATTTAAACACTAGCCACCCTGTTTTTCTTTAGGGAGGCATTTGCTATCCATTTGCACAGAAAGAACCAGAGAGCAGCAGTTCGCGATTGTCAAATGTCACAACTAAAACAAATAGCGAAATAAAAGATTAGAACAATGATTTTGCATCACCTCCCCATTGTGCAACAGATGGAATTTGACAAAAACAGCTGAATAGATTAAACAAAAGATTTCAGCCCTTATTCTCCTGAAAAGCATGCAGCAGCTACCTATATTTTCACAAATATGCCCCATCCCTGCAGGCATTCAAGGCCAGGCTGGATGTGGCTCTGGGCAGCCTGGGCTGCTGGTTGGTGACCTGCACACAGCAGGGGGTTGGAACAAGATGATCACTGTGGTCCTTTTCAACACAGGCCATTCTATGGCTCTACGATTCTAAATCAGAAGCTAATTATGAGCCTTTCAATAAACATGTGATTAAAAAGTACAGGATAGTATTGCCAGGTATCTGTGTGCTCTTAGCGCATTTCTGCACACAACTTCTGGAAGAAAAGTCCAGATTCTTCTTTTTTTTTTCTGCAAAGTTTTCATGTGAAAAGAGAGCAGAGCAGATGAGCACTGCTCACTCACACTGTACTCAGCATGCTGGCACAGCCCACGTCCCCCCAACACCCCGACATGGAGCAAAGTGATGGATACCAGCTGAACATGAATGCAGGATACAGAAGCGCAATGTATTTTGAGATGACCTGTGCTGATCCTGCTCTCCAGGGTAGCTGGGGGTTGTATTGTAATAGAACAGATCTCCAGTTGGCTTTGGACGCGCTCTCATGGTCACAAGTGCCCAGGGTGGGGGTTTCCCTTCCCATCCTCCGGGGTGAATGGCAGAGCCATTCCCCAATGGGATGGGAAGGCCAAAAAGTGAAAGGGAACCCAACCTGTGAAGGGTTGTCCCGGAGCTCTGTGCTCCTCTTACCTTGTTGAATATCCAATGGAAGCGTGGGATGCAGACTGAGTTCTCCTGCTGGAAGCAGTCTCTGTAAATAAATCACCATTCACGAGCTGTTTTGTTTCCAGTTGTGTGACTTCTGTCCCGCTTCAGGTTTGAAACATGCACTGAAATTATAACTGTAGCTCCTGGTTGTTGTAGGGGACTCTGCTACGTCGGGAATGCGTGTGTACACAAGTCTTCCAAACCATAAAGTTGTACCAGGGAATCTGAAATAAATTAATATTGTTGAAATTAATGAACTGAGAAATTGAAGTTCACATCGCTACAAGAACAAATTTATTAATATCTGTTGTACATAAATTAATGAGAAATATCATTATGACAAAAATTAAACAACGCTACAATTAAAGACAGTCTAAATTATGTTCCTACCAAGGAGTTAACCGGAGAAAAAGCAGCAGGCTTTGGTATCTCAGTGTTAAACTGGAGGAAAAAACGAGATGGCGGGATAGGGATATTAATCTCGTGCCTTTTTATAGCAGTCGGTGTATGGATTTGAGAGCAGGTGTACAGCACTCGGCTTTGATCTTAGAGAGTCCTTGACTTGCTTGGCCCTGCTATTGTGATCAAGTGCAATTAGGATAACGTTGGCATGGAGGTTTTCTGCTCAGGCTCCGGTTCTGGGGAGGAAGCGGAGGTTTGCGGGGCTCTGCTTGCTGGGCCAGGCTGTCCCCCAGGGCTGGCTGCTAACAGAGCTCCGCCAGCAAAAGAGCGTTGGGATCTCCTTTGGAACGGTGCAAGGGCGCTGTGTCGGGAAAGCATTTGTGCAGCGCTCCTCCGCTCCACGCAGTGCTGGATGCCAACGGGCCGCACTGTGCCGTGTATATGGGGACACCCCCTGTGATGCTCCATGTCTGCCCGCCGCGACCCAGACGTGCCTTGTTCTACAGCATGCAATAACAGCCGGTTTTTCTCTTTTTCTTTTAGCTATGTCCGGGCTTGTAGTCCCGCCAATGTAAAGTCATTTTGTTTACCTACCGTAGCGCCAAGCTTCAAGGATGGGCTTAGGGGACACGTTTAGTATATTAAGACATGCTGATGGAAACAGTGTCTTCAAAACAGAATCAGCAACAAATCGAAATGCTAAAAAAAAAAAAAAAAAAAAAAAAAAAAAGACTTTGTTTAAAGATTTTATTTAAACTATTAAGAATCTACATGCAAACAACCTACTTCTTCATGAACAATTCCATTTTATTGACTGAATTTTTTCTCATATTTTCACATTTCTCAGTCCTGAAGAATAAGGAAAAAGCGACGCCTATTTTGTATAAAGTTTCTGATTACGTCTTGGCTATGTCTAGTACTTGCTATGTGTTGGGAGAAACTTTGTGGATGCACCATTTTGATTATCATGAAACACTGATGAAAAATGCCTCCGAACATTTTTCTGTACTCATAACTAGATTCACAATGGTTGTGTATCTCTATAATGTGAAATATTTTTTTGTGGTGGAACAAAGGGGGCCAAGGAGGTCATGAGCCATCAAACTGGAAGAAGGATGAATATATGGTCGGAACAAACACCGGGGCGGGGGTGGGCGCGGGAGGGTTTACCATTGCTTAACTTCATCTTAATGAAATGGAACTTTGTAACTTATTGTAGTTAGAAATTGTAACTTTGATATTGAATTCTCTTGCCTTCAACAAGCACACTGACAGAGAAAAAATTGCTACTGTCTGTTGGTAAAAACCTATACTTCCACTGCTAGAGCTTCCTGTTAAGCAAGTGTGATCTGCAACATTTTTTCAACTTTTGCTAGCACTGTATACTATTGCATTCTTAGGCTACTGTGAAGTCTATGTTTCTTGTACCAGAAAATTGTCCTTTTGACTTCTAGATCCTTCTTCCCTAATGTGTTTTGTATGTGGTTATAAAATTGTAGACTTTTGTGATTTTGCCAAAGTTGTAGCTAAATATTTATACACTTGTCTTGAATTTTTTTCAGATCCACTTAAATATCTAGAAAAGCAAATTTTATTCCTTATGAAGCCTGTAAGGAATAAAATAGTCTTACCCATCGCAACACCTTCTTTCACATAAACACTTGCAGTCACTAAGGGAATTTATTTTGTAACATATCAACTATAAATATTGTATTTATCTTTGAAATTTTGTATATTGCTTTTCATCATTTTGTTTTCTTGTATGTATTGGTTTTTGTCATGGCCTGGTATGGTGATGCTGAGAACAGCATTCAGCCAACAGCAGTTGCCTTCATGTTTTTCTTTGAAGTAAATCAGCGTCCGTGCATTTCATTTGTACTTGGTGAAGTTGCTATTATTTCGACTTTCCATCCTTTTCGTTCCTTCCTTTTTTTCTTTTTTTTTTTTTCCCTTTTTTTTATTATTTTTGAGGAAAAGTCAAATTCATCGTTTATTTTTATATGATTTTTAAGTTATCAGAACAAATAATTTTGAAAAAGAAGTTGTTTGTTGTATAGTCAAATCCCATTTGTGCCACATGGCTGTAATGAATACTAGTAGAATATGTGCATGTGATACAGCCACAAAAAAGAGGAATCTGTTTTGTGGTTGCTTTTTTTCCCCCCCTTTTTTCTTTTCTTTCTTTTTCTTTATTTTTATTTTGATTTTGATTCCCTTTATTTTCCTTTCCTTTCCTTTCGTTTATTTTATTATTCTTGTTTTTTGTTTGCTCCATTTTGTTTTATTTCAAAGGCTGTAACAAATCGTTGTTAGCTGCCACCCATGACTTTGCCACGTAGCTGAACTGTGTTTACTGGGAAAAGTCAGAGGCCTAAAAGTTTAAAATAAATTCACTTCTGATGTTTTAATTAAAACGTTTGCCACATTAACTTCTCCGATGCCTTAAAAGTGAACTTCTTTGAAGAACTTTTGTGCTGTTTTATCACAGGCTTACACCACAATTGTTAACCGCTACTTCATTTGGGTGATTTCTGGTGTAAAAGAAAAGCACAAACCCGGTGTACAACTCTATCACTCCTTTATGTGTCTATTTTCTGCTGCACTCTGCATCCTCCCGAACCCTGCACTGTTTAAAACAGAGAAAAGTTTCACTCGAGATCAGGATCACACGTGATTTTTAAACGCCTGGGGTTTGCTTATTTCGGTTTCTCGCTTTTTTTATGGAACTTTTTGTAATAGACCCACAGATGACTGTACTTTTTAAACTGGAATGACCTCCATCGTGTTTTGTGGCTGTTAGTGCCAAATCCATAGTGAGAAATGTTTCTGGTTTTCTTTTACTTTGCACTACATGGTTTGCAAATGCAGCACTGCAAAACGTTTTGCAAACTGCAGCAGAATTAAGGTTTGAACCAAAAAGGAGGGATCTCTTTTTTTCTTTTTTTTTTCTTTTTTTCTTTTTTTTCCTTTTTCTTTTTCTCCTTTCTGGGCAAAAAAAATGCACATTTTAGTAAAGTGTTTATTAAAGGGTTTAAAAGAATGATACAGTGTGTCACAGCCAAGAAATGCCCTGTGCGTTTCTTTGGTGATAACCAATAAGGCTTAGCTAAGTGGAAAAGCCTGAGAAGTCACTTTGGAACTGAATTGCCTCAGTTATATTTTGTCTAATGACGTTCTGAGCTAACGAAGAGGTCACGTGTACATGTTAAAAACATTTGCAACTTTCTTCATAACTGCAACCTGTTTGTGTTTTAGATTACTTAGAGCAGCCATCGCTTCATCGTCTCCGAACGGAAAGCTTCACTAAATGGTAGATTTTACTGTTAAAGACCCTACAATAAGATTGTTTTATCTGTACATTTTTTCATATATTTAACTGTATAAAAAAAAAAAAATGTTCATTTTACACAATATTTAATTAAAGTATTTCTTGTCTGTGAATTTCATTTTTTAGTAAGTTTATCTGGTTTGATTATTAAAAAAAAAAACAACGGACAACACACGAAACAAAAGAATGCAGCACCAGGGCTCTCGTTTCTAACCGCCAGCGCTCGTACTCACGTCTCAATTAAAAACCATAAGCCACGAAATAGGTTTTCCCTGGGAAAAAGCCAGGATCCTGGGAAGGAAGGCAGCAGCCTGCTGCTCCGCCACGGTGATGCGTCCCAGACGGCCTGTATGTAAAGGTAACAGCAGAGCTGCTTCTTTCTGTTCCATTTTCAGATGGCATTGTGAGATTCTGTCAACAGGAAAAGTTATTTTAAACGCAGCATAACCCAAATTTTCCATGCAGTGCTTTCGCACCGAAGGTCAACCTGCTTGTTTTCTCATTGCTGATAAGAAAGCAAATGTTTTTTGATAATTATAACACCGAACACCGAAGTATGTTGTCCCTTGGACTCCAGCATGTGTAGTGTGCATATCATGTACCTGAGCGTGAGTGTGCAGAGGTGGGCACGAGTCAAACCTCCTGGGTGCAGGGTGTGTGCATGGGAGGCAGCTCCGGCACCGACCTGAAGCTGAGCACGTGTCTTGGTAAAGGAGGCAGTTCAGCAGGCCACTTCTGCTCCAGCATTACCAGGCACTGCTGGAAACGTCAAGAAGGCACTGAGATAACCAAGCTTGGAAGAAAAAATATGTACAGGAGCAGGTGTGTATTCTGCCATCTGACAGGTAGAGTGCCTTCGGTGCCCTGTGCTTCTGTAGTTCAGTGATGAGTGCGATGAGGAGCTGCAGCACGCTGTAGCTACATTCTAGAAAGAAGCAAACCCAGGATATTTAACTGTGTTTCCTCCTATATTTCCATCGTTTTTATATGTGATGTTAAGAATAGAGAGCACTTTTGATTATGACTATTATTTTGCATTGACAGCCATTTCACTCCGTGTATGTACCTGCATATCATGTCTATCCACTGGCACAATCAGACACGCGCCACTAAAAATAAGACTTTTTATGGGGATGAAAGTCTGCATGATGCCTACTGGCACTGCTCCTTTTAGGTTCGTTTCAAAGGTTTGAATAGCGAGTGCCTAAATGGTTGGTCTAACGTTCAGTACAAAGAAAATACAAAAGAAAATAAAACACACGTTCTGTGTTGAGAACGACAGGTCCTGGAGCGATCCAGCACCCGTGACACATCTATATCCATAGCTTGGCAATCGCCCTGCCAGGAAAATATGTTGTGTCAGCTCACACCAAGTTTAGAAATGCAAAGAAGAAGATGATAAAATTTCCTTAATCGAAATGAAGGAATAGAGTCTCTAAAAGTATACGCCAATTATTGCAGAGCAGCTTTTTAAAGTCTTTCAAGCTTTTAAAGATTATTCAAAGCACTTGAAATAGGCTTCAATCTAATGCCTCATTTCATTGCATTAAACAGCCTAGTTAATAAAGAATCAATATATTCAAAGGGCAAGGTTATCTTTTGTCTATAAGGGGTGGTGTCATTCTGAACCTTTTATAGTTCAAATGCTGAAAAAGACCTCATGAAATCCATACTCATCAAGTGGGTCAACTAGAGCAATAAAGAGGCCCCTGAAAGAATGGCTGCGCTCCTTTAAAACAACTATAAGTCTTATCTCCCCCGCATAGTGCTTGCGCAGAATCAGCCAGAAAATGTCAATTTCTCATCAAGACAAGAGGCCCAATGATAATTTTTTTCTAGAGAATACATACAATTAGGAGAATGCAGAAAGGCCCCATCAGTGATTTGTAGCTTATTATGTCACCAGCAAGCTGCGATCTACTGCTAAGCAGATAATAAGGGCTGTTGATAACTGAAGTGTCAATATGCCAAAGAACGATTTTTGAATGTGAGCCCTTGTGCTTTTTTTCCCCTCCTTGTGCAGATCGCAGGGCCTGATAACAGAGCATCTGCCAACCGACACCGCGCGCCGGACCACACAATTAATGCCATGAATAAATAGCACAAAAGAGTTTAGATTCTTTATACTCTTTGAGACAATTCCCTGTTTTACCCTTCAAGGATTTCTTTTATGTTCGAATAAGGTTGCTTTTAATGAAATTTAAACTCATCAGAGGAAATCAAAACCCTCAAATCAGATTACAAATTGATTTTTTTTTTTTTTTGGTCACTTGTCATTATACAATGTACTGCCCTAAGTTTTACAGGAAAAGGAAGAGAAAGTGCCGGGTATTGAGTAAGAGCATGCAAACAGTCTTGGAAAAGGCATATGAAAGAGGAACGTTCCTAAAATTCCACAAGAAAGTTTTACAGAGTTGATGTGTATCAACACGCGATCGTTACTGTTATGCTCACCATGTGCTGGTTATAAAGAAAAAACTATACTAGAACTTTGAAATGCATACATTAAATCACCAAACCCAAATGATCTCTGTTTTTCTTATATATAATGCTAGATGTCTTTGTTACATACAAGGAATTAAATATTATTTCTCACAGCTCAGGTCAATAGCAGCAGAAGGTGAATCTGAGAGTGGGTCTGGTACCCCATCCCTTTGGTGACGTTGCCAGTGCAGTTTGGCCAGCTAAAATATGATGCTGGCAACATATGCTATATACAGCCATGATCTTTTTGTTTCCTTCTGGGTTCCAATAAAGTCACTGTTGTACTATCACACTTTTGTTTTCTCTTTATTTATCAGCTTGAAGAAACGAGATATAGTAAATTGGTTACTAAACGCTAATTTTTGTTGCCTGAAATTTTTAGAGGACTTCTGTTGTGATGTGACACTGTTTTCCACTTGCCTTGAGATAAATGAAAAGATTTGAGAAACTTCTTTGTAACAAAGGAAGGCATTAACTTCCCCAGACCACTGGGAATGGTGAGTGCAAATAAGATCTGCTCCAAGCAGACAGAGCTCACAGCGTTGTATAGATTGCTCAAAACCAAACAGCCCACCAACCAACCACAAACTAACAAAAATGGAAACTGAGTCCAGAATTGGTCTGTGTAATACAGCCAACAAGCTCTGAAGTTGCCCTGTACTGACAGTGGGATTAGCATAGGGACAGCAAGGGGAAGGAGGAGATCAGCCAGGAGGACTTGGGGGAGCTGCACAGAGCGGGGCTGCCCTGGGCACAGGGCTCCAGAGCTGCCATGGCCTCGGCCTGGCTGTGGTGCCAGCGGGCAGGAGGATGCTGGCATCAACCTGGGCAGACATGGAAGCACTTGAAACCATAATGACTAGAAATAATTCAGAACCTGCAATACGTTGTCTTGCAAGGCTGTCTGGGCAGACCAAGTGTCACTCAGTGAGGAAGGGGAAATAAGTACTGAAAAGGACAGGAGCCGTGCCATACAGTAGGAGCCACTCCAGCTCAGCGAGGAGTCCCATCTCCAAGCACACCAGCCCTCCAGCAGCCCTTCCCTGGGGCAGCACTAGGCTGTCTATGGGGCAGCAGGCAGGCTGCAGCAAGGCTTTGGGCAGCCTGGGGGGACCATGGCCCACAGCCAGAAATAAAACCAGGAGAGCCAGGCAGCTTCACAGGTTTACACATCAGTTTGGAAAAGTCAGCTGTGTGAAGAAAACAGCAAAGCGTAGATTGGTTTGGGACAAAAGCTCCCAAAACATACTCGAGGTGGAACACCACCAGTGTCACCTACATCAGGTGAAAGAGCCAGGTATGTACATCTGTGGGTCAATGTTGGAAAATCCCACAGTGCAGCTGTGCTGAACAGGTAGCTCTGGAATAGCCTTGGGCTTCCTCCCTGGACATCAGTGAAATTGAAGCATGGACATTTTTACAAAATGGAATTCCTGTTTTTTCATCTTAAGGTAACGGAGCTGACAGAGCTGGAACCAGACCTAGCAAGTGAGCCCAGCCACTGCTATGCTCTGCTCAGCTGAGGGCCGAGGAACTCAGAGAGGAAGGTGGTAGTGGATGAGCTGCTGTATCTGTGCTTTTGCAGTCAAGTCATGGGAGACAAAAATCATTTTTTAATCATCTGCAGGGGGATAAGAATGGAAGAAGGTCTACAAAGCAGGGTGAAACAGTTCTAGGGAGAGGGCGAGATTTAGTTTGCTCTAAATCAGAAAGTAGCACTGCCAGCAGAAAGCCATGCAGAAGAGACTCAGCTGTGATGCCAAACATGGTCAGTCCCATTTAGCAGGTGGCAGGGACAAGACGAAGGCATCACGCTCATGCTGTGATGCCCCATGAGGTAACTCAGCCCTGCTCAGGCACCTCATGCTTGATACATGCTTGCAGAAGTGATGGAATGAACCTTTTTTCTATAGAAGTGGGAAGAAAATAGAAGGAACTTACCTTTGAATTTTGTAGAACCAATATCTCCATAGAGCAGGGTGTCAGGTAAAATCATTTCGAAGTTTTGTTGCCTGAGGTCTACCTTCGATGGTTGGGGGCTTTCCCACCATTCAGCATCCATGTTTCTCATTCGTTTCTCTTTATTTTCAGTCCACAGTGCCATGTCTGCACCACGTGGAGACCAGTCACTTGTGTTTGCATATCCCACATTGTATCCCAAACCTGTCTAAGCTGCCAAAGACTGCACTGCTGCTGGGATGCTGCTTTGCAGAGCAGCTCATGTTTGCTTTATGTTGCTGTTGAGTGGGAAAGCAAGACCCTTGCAGTAGGCCATCAAATCCAGCAGTTACCTCTGCAGGTGAGAACTGTTATCCCATACTGCTGCAAGAACCGGTCAGATCCCAGGTAGGACAAAGAGGAGGCTGGCAGACAAATGCTTCATCTTCTCTCAGTGCTACATCATGTTTGCACAGCATGGTTTGCTGTGGGTGTCTTGCATGATCCATATGGATGGAAGAGCCTTCAGAAGCTGCTGTGCAGGAAACAGACAGAAGTTAAGCAGATAAAGAAGATAAAGATGCCCAAAATGCTCTGCTTTAGGTAGCGTTAAGATGTCACAACCACAAAACTAGAATGCCTCAAAGAGTAATAGATGCACGTTAGTGTAACCAGCTACAGATCTCACGTTGTTCATGTAAATGCAAAAATCTGAGAAAAGTTCTTTTAAATCTTTTTGTTAACATTACCCTGGCAAGCAGTTAGCAGAAGCAAATCAAGCACTGTTGCTCTCTGGGTGCTGCCCCTACTATGAGGGAAATAACCTGCAGGAGCACACCAGGCCGTGCAATGGGGACTCATCAGCCACAAACTGGTAGAGAAGAGTTTCTGCTTCCAGGGCAGCTGGATGGGGCTGGCAGAGCAAGGGCAGGGACGTGGTGTTTTTGTGCAACAGGGACGCCACAAGTTCAATCAGGGTCAGGAAAACATATTTTTTTCTGTGCTGAAATTATCCATTCCAAATGGAAACAGACACAAATAACTCTGGTGTGTGAACTGTACATACCTCACCCCATTCACCGCTCCTGTAGTAAGTTCAAATATAAGGAAGAGCAGAAACAACAGGTTTGGGTGCTAAAATATACATTCCAGCCATCACAACTGGACTGCCTCAAGGTCAAATTTACACTGTTTTCTACCACCACTCTCTATTTTCTCTCTAATGAAATGACCCTTGTCCTGCAGTCTTCTGGCACCATGATGAGAAGAGAAAGCCTTCTTGTTGTCTGCATGGCTACTCTGCCCCATACTTTCAATGCAAAGATTAAATATTGATACATAGCAGGGCAGTAAGAGCCACTGACCAGGGATGCAGCGCTGCTGGTGGGATGGGCTGCCCACCCCTCTGCCTCACAGTGACAAACCTCGTGCAAGCCCTTCCAGCAACAGCGCAGGAATGTCTGTTCCTTTCAATGTATTTGTCTGGTTCAGGTCAATGACTAATTCACTTGAAACTGAAAACCCGATTGGGAGCTGGAAGAGCAGAAAATGTGTTTTCCTCTCCCTGTCCATGAATAAAAAATAGATTTGAAAGGATAAGATCCGCCAGTTTTAGCATCTTGAAGGACGTGGTGACCACAAACCACCCATTCAGCATTTTGAATGTAGATAATACCATTTCCTTTGCTTAGTAGCTCTATGAACATATTAACTCTAAATGCATAGGTTGTTTAGAAGAGAACTTGACAACGCATGGAATACTATGGGAAATGCAACATCCAGCCATTTCATAGACACAGAAATACAAAGCATATAATCTGAACATTAAATAGAACTGCCTACACAAAAGGAAATAGTTCAAGTAACCCAGGTAAGCAGACTGAACAGCCAGAAGACATGCATATTTGGAAAAAAATGATGGGTGCAGCCCTTGGGAAGGAGCCTGGGCTCTCCCAGCGTTGCCATAGGAAAAAGCAACGCAGGACAGCAATTTCAGACAAAACCTTTTCCTGAGACCTTCTGGATACTTCTGTCAGTAATACTTACCCAATACCTGGTGATGGAAAAGCCACCCATCAGCATCCTTTTTCCCAGTGTACACACACGTGTAGTGCAGCTAACAGCACCTCATCCAATGCTGCTTCCTTTGCTCTTCGCTCCATCTTTAATGCAGCGTTGCCCTTTGGTAGCTGTGTGGTTAGGGTTAGGGTGCCTGTGACATTTTAGGGTCAGCAGTTCTGTCTCAGGGTCCATTTTCACACAAGCTGACCTCCTGGAATTTTATTTTCAAGCAACATTTGGCCATCTCATTTAACCAACTCACGTTTACAGGATCCAAGTCTGCATTTGCGATGAAGGGCCGAGCCCGGGCTGTGATGTGGCAGACTGTGAAGCACCAGGAACGTACTGTGCTGCAGTGAGCCAGTGATGGCCACACACTGCCAGCAATGCAAACCTGGTGCTTGTGCCACCTCACACAGCCCAACTGGGGAGCAGCCTTGCTGCATAGGACCTCCTCAGCCAGGGACAGGTGCAGGCATGCTGGCAATCAGCAAAGCCAAGGTGTATTTCCTGCAGCATGCAGCTGGGGGCATTTTGCAACTCATTTTGCCGGAGAAAACTTGTTATTTAATTGCCTTTGCTGCTGCTGGATCGGAGTCAAAATGAGTGGGAATATCAGGTCCTGCCAGATATATTCAATCATATTACGGCTTTTTTCCCCCGAATGGATGCGGAGTGCCAGTGAGCAGTGAAGCAGTTAAACACAGCCGTGCAGATGCCAGCAAGGCTGCGATTTCACAAGGAGCATCCCACCAAAATGAACAAGGAGAACGCACACATCCCCAGGTGCTTCTACCAGTCCCCACAGAGAGCTTACGGGAAGGGAACTCAATGGCTTGGCCAACTGCTGGAAGGAGGGATCTCTGCTCTGACAAAGCACGAATACCATCCAACACAGCCCCTAAATAAACAGTGAGGGCTGTTAAAATTCAGAAGGATGCATTCACGCTGCCAAGCAGGTGGAGCGAGGAGGCAGAGGTGCCCCCAGCAGCCCAGCTCTGCATCGCAGTGCTCCACAAAACTGGGTGGAGAGGGGAAAAAGCAATGTCTAAATGAGTCCAAAACTGATTATCAGGTTCCTAAGTGGCAATCTAATTTAGCTATATAAAATCATGAAAGGCAAAGAATTAATTGATACTAATGAGTTATACGAGATAGCATCATAATTAATTCCTAAATAGAAAGAGGACATAGGCTGGAGTGTGTGTGGGGGGAAACAAGACTGGCCTACATATCCTAGCAGATTACAGAGGGTACATCTGAAATGAGAAGTGAGCAGCTGAAGTCAGGATGGATGGAGCTCCAGCATTGCTCCCATGGTTCGGGGAGCCCCACACTCCCAGGGGGCAACGGGTGCCGGTCCCTGCATCGCAGGGCACACACTGGGTACCTGCTGGTTGCCATGGTAACCACACAGATTGGATCTTTTTTTTTCTCCCCCCAAAAGTATTGCTGAGTAAATCCATAATCCCACGACAACTTTGCCATGCATCAAGTTACAGTTCTGGGATCGCTGCAGCAACTTAGGCAAGGAGTTGGTGGGTTCGACTCGGAGCAAAGCTGCTCTGCTCCACTCTGGTTTGGGCCTACTGAGTCCTCTGCTGCATAAACCATAGGTGACCACTCGTGTGCTGGAGGACAAAAAGCTTTGATGAATCACAGAAACAGTAAATTATACATGGAAAGAGCATTCATTTTTGGAAAACCCATAGAATTAGCATCACATGTTGACTCTGCTTCCATGATTATGAATCAGAGACCTTTTTGGCTTTATTTCTGAAACTGACATTAAAAGTTTTGTTCATTTTTAATTTTTTTTCTCCTTCAAAACCAGGTTTTGATTTTAAAAGAAATCCCATTTGCAGAAATTAAATTCCAGTTACATTATTGCATGGTGAAGCCCAGAGTCGCCCTCCTGTTGAACAAACTACTTCTGATAAATTGCAAAGAAATATCAGTTTGTAGAATTAAGGTAATTTTTAAAAATGTTACCATGAAAAGTCATGCATTGTTGGCACATACCAATAATTCACGTCAGCCTGAGCCAAATTCCTGGTATTGAAAGTGTAAACAGTCACAATCAGTGATCAACTCCATTTGACTCTGGCATCAAGGCCATTCATAGAAACAGTAGTTGCACAGTAAATCCAGCTCAACACGAAATAATTATTACAAATCAAACGATTTTCTGTGCCAACAGGTCAGCCAGGGAACAATCAACCCATTGACATCACACCCTCATGTGTGAGGACTGTGGGCTGTGATGCAGGACAACAGGAGGATGGGGAAATAATGATAAATAAATTTTGCCAAATATCTTCCAAGCCCTTCCTGCTGGTGTGTTCCCACCTGGCACCTCCTCCTCTGTGACATGTCATCTTTGCAATGGGGGATGAGGAAGATGGTGTGTGTCTGTGCAGCACAAAGCAGATCCAGCAGCAACGCTCCTCTCTCCATCACTGCCAGCATGACACGCATCCCCTTGCATTGCTCCCAGGTTGGCTGGAACGTGCTGTCCTCCTTCCTTGCAATAAGAAAAGCTGGCATCAGTGAGATCTGCTGCTAAATAATCCAGAACAGGAGCGGGATGGAGCCATGCAGAGAAATGGAAACGTTTGGGTACACTGGGAGAAAATAAGTAATTTAGATATAGGGAATGATGCCTGCCTGCCTGACGTGCCCTTATTTTGTCATTGATTGCTTCTCTACACATGCAACCTCAGACCTTAAGTACTGCATATAATGGAAGTTTTAAAATCAGTGCTTGCCTGCTAATCTTTTCCTGCTACAAATAAAGAAAAATTAAATTGAAATAATCATTGTGTTTCCAGCTGCCTTTCTTGGGGTTTACCTCCCCATTTAGTGCTGCCGCTGCCACTTCTTTCCCATCGAAACGCGTTCGTAGTGACGCACGTTTCCTCACTCTCCAAAAGAGATGGGGCTTAAAACCACCTTAAAAAATGTGTTGGGCATCCCATGGCAGGCCTTGCAAACAACCTGAGCACGAGGCGAGGAACAACGTCTGAGGTGAAGCAATGCTGGCAGGCAGGCTTCACAAACACGGACAAAACAAGAGGCTGTCCTCAGGTCCTGCTCTCACACGGGAAAGCGCTCGGGCACAGCGCAGCGCCGAATGAGCTGCTGATAAATCTAATCCTGAAGGATTGGAAATGAGGTAAAAGAAATTTTGATGAAAATTATGTACATGTACTTTGACAAGCTCATAAACACTGCAGCCATGATAAGTTTTCTTATTTTTTTTTTTAAGACCTGACACAACTGTGTAAGCCCAAACTCTAATTTTTACAGCCCTGGGTTTGGAGATCTGTCATTGGGAGATATAATGGAAAGAATAATTGCTTGGTGGCTGCACAAACATGAGATGTGTTGTCAGGCTGCAGTTTGGAGGCTACATCTGGCTTCAGAAATGATTGATGCTGTCTCTGTGTGTGATTTGGGAAACAATTTTTTTTTTTTTTTTGCTAACACAACCGATGTGCCGAACCTCCGCGCAGCCGGAGCAATTAAATCGTTATTAATGAAAACTTTTCATTTATTCCTCTTACTTCCAAGCTCCTTTTTCGATTGCAGCACTGCACGGCGATGGCAGAGGAAGGTAGGCATGTGATTTCAATTTGAAATTAAAAGTCATGTCTGAATAACAGAACAGCATTCTCATTTCCTAATACTCTGCTTTTTACTACTTTGCATTCAACTGTGAAAAGTCTTTTAAAACTCTGAACAGCAGTAAAACTTGAATGAATTTTTGACCCATTATTGCATAGCGGGTGCGCTTTCCAAGTTCGAGAGACTGCCAAGTTCTCCCCACCTAATATTTCCACTTTAATTGTGCCACTTGAGAAATTTACGTGCCTCAAAATATGGCATGAATCTTACGCTTATTGCAGTATCATTAGCAGCAACATTTAAGCAACATCTGTGTGCTATAGAACTAATTGAAGTAGCAGAAGTGGCAGCTGTAAATCCACAGGAAGATGGCAGTTTGCACCCAGCACTGCTGAGTTAGCGGGTAACTGTCAGCCTGTTCCTGCAATCTGCTCTCGAGGACTACGGTACAGGCACACAATGTCCAAAAAAATACAGCGAGTAGGCTAATGATCCTATTAACCACTTTGCTGCACCAATTTGGCTGTTTTTCCAGTTTCCTCGTTGAATTTCATTATATATTTCACCGTTCCAGTAAAAAGTCCAGCATGAGACACGCTCGCTTGTAAGCCACTGACGTTGGGGAGTGAAGCTCCTTCTCGGTTGAATTAACACAAAAATGATTTTTCTTTTTGCAATCCGATATATTTCTCCACTTTTTCCCATTGTTTCATTTTTCTTCCTTGGTGAAAAAGAACTTTTACCAACTGTTAATGCTGGTATTTAAAGCAATGACATTTCCCTCTCCGGGATGTAACATTTTCCATAATCCATGCCACTGGGAGGGGGCACGCCTGGAGCTTTAGGTGTGTGGGTTAAAGTACATCTTCATCCGTGCCAGGAAGGTTGCTGTGCCACACGTGTGGCCCGCAGCTCATCAGGGCACCGCCGCTGATTGCACTAATTGGTGATTACAAAAGGAGGAAGGTGTTTAAAGTAGCATGTCCTGGTATTACTGCATAATCCAGGCACACGGCACATCGGGACTCCAGAGCGTCTTGGAGCATTACCCATGCTTCCATCCTCATTTGTTTCTTGGGGGGAAACAGAAGGTTTAGAAACCTTGCAATAGAACAGAATGGAGTGAAATAGAATAGGATAGGTTAGGACAGGATACGATATGACATGACACAACGTAACACGACATGACATAAGCGTAACATAAAAATATAACACAATATAATACACAACACAGATGTGATAATGATACAGCATAATAACACGCATAATAGCAACAATAAAATAATTATGCTAGGCATCAATGCTTTGGCACAAAAGCCATGTTTCCTGCCAACCCCGTGCCCCCACTGGCTGTGCCCAGCTCCACCCCAGCGTTGCTGGGATCCCCCATCTCCCTCCCTTCCACCCAGCACTGGGAGCAGAGGGAGCCTCAGGGCTGGGCTGTGCTCACCACAGGCCCTGCTGCATTAGGAGCCCAGCACGTCTGCCTGGCTGCCATGTGACGCACCGCGAGCCACCAGCATTTGTTGTCTTAATACACAAATACTTGGGGACCCAGCTGATAAGGGACAAACTGTTCTGAATCTGCTGAACTACACGCTTAGGGTGGCATGGACCCCGGCGATATTGAAAATCAATAGTCACGTGGCAGTTTAAAGGTTAGAGGTCTCCTGAATTAACTTTCTAGTACTAAATTACCAGCCCTCAGTAATTTTCTTTCTTTTTTTTGGGGGGGTGGGGAGGGGTTTGTTTATTTCTTTCTCTTTCTTCATTCTGAAAGCAATGGGAAGATGCACTGGCTTTAACACTTAGCTAAGGTCTGCCTAGGAGCAACAGGAGAAAATAGCAAAACTTGTTAATATTTTACGTGATAATACAGATATTAAGGTAATTCTCAAAAGAACATTTAGGAAAGCATCAGATATTTGCAGCCTAAGTTGGTCTTCTTCAGAAGGGTTTGCTGCCAGCTAGGTTGCCAGGTGGAATGGTCAAAAATATCATGCAGTTAAAGATGC